CGTCTTCATTACACTCAAATACAAGATCATGCTCAACAACACCCGAGCCAACCAAATGTAATGAACATCGCACGATACAGAAAGGCAGTGTACAATACGCTGTGGGTGCAGTTAGCTTTATTCGTCTGTCATCCACCTTATTGCATACTTTTAATTTTGATCACTTTTAGTAAAATATCTCCAACACATTTAGTCTTCGGTGTGGCACTAACGGAGGTTTTTTGTATCCTTTAACTAAACTTTGAACCCGTTCATTTACGGCTGGAAGATTAGCGAAGTAAGACAAGCAGTGAAGCAGACTAGGAGACAAGCGTTATGTTGTTCTTAGAGTGAATTTTTGTTCGGGTTAGACTGTATTGATGCATATAAAGCTAATTAGTGAAATAAGTGTAAATAGAGAGTGAACCAGTATATAATCGCATAAGGAGAATAAAGACTTCAAATGCTTTTGCACTGGTGAGTGAAGACAACATTACTGATTTCCTCACTGAGTGATGAAAACCCGATAGATAGACCCATATCATTGGAATCGTTGTAGCAATTGGAGTTTTTCTTATCATGAGCTCAAAATGTGAATAACCAATTGCCACGTGAATGAACCAGTTCTTTAAACTAGTTCGCACTTAAATTAATTTCCACAAAATAAACATAAACTGGTAACTTTTAATGAAGTAAATTGTTTTTCTGCAATTGCTTAAAATGCTGATCACCCGCGCGGATTATTACTTTACTTAAAGTAAACTGCTGGTTGCTGTCCACACCACTCAGTGCCTACATTTGAGTTGGCCGCCGAAGAAAATGCTTCTTCTACATTACACCATAAGGTTCGTTAAGCATCTTGAAAGGATTAAAAATCGCTTAAGTTTTCTGACCAGAAGCCTATAACCTTGAACATGAAATATTTCCGTTCTGACTAATGGCGTTACAGAGCTTTGGAACTATTTTGCACCTCTCAGCATATCGAGTCAGAACAAATGTTGGTGAAATTGCTTTCTGTGGAAGATGTGTTTCTTCCCAAGTGATTAAAAATTCAAGGTATACTTAAAGGAAAAATTGACACCTTCTTTGACGTAACTGATACAAGTTCGCGCATTTTAAAACATTAAGTGCTACTGAGAATATCGATTTTATTGGTAGTAGTGACCCATCAACCCGAATAAAATTTGGTCTTACGACCGTACGACCGACCGCACAAGGTGCTACTTTTAACATGCGTGGTGAACTTTATCGCGGGCACGCCAACG